CTGTTCAATCCTGTTCCAATACTGCTCCTCTGTTCAATACTGCTCCAATGCTGCTCCTCTGTTCAATCCTGCTCCAATGCTGCTCCTCTGTTCAATCCTGCTCCAATGCTGCTCCTCTGTTCAATACTGCCCCAATGCTGCTCCTCTGTTCAATATTGCCCCAATGCTGCTCCTCTGTTCAATTTTGCTCCTCTGTTCAATGCTGCTCCTCTGTTCAATGCTGCTCCTCTGTTCAATACTGCTCCTCTGTTCAATGCTGCTCCCCTGTTCAATACTGCTCCCCAGTTCAATACTGCTCCAATGCTGCTCCTCTGTTCAATACTGCTCCTCTGTTCAATACTTCTCCGTTCAATACTGCTCCTCTGTTCAATGCTGCTCCTCTGTTCAATACTGCTCCTCTGTTCAATACTGCTCCTCTGTTCAATACTGCTCCATAGCTGCTCCTTTGTTCAATACTGCTCCAATGCTGCTCCTCTGTTCAATACTGCACCAATGCTGCTCCTCTGTTCAATACTGCCCCAATGCTGCTCCTCTGTTCAATACTGCTCCAATGCTGCTCCTCTGTTCAATAGTGCCCCAATGCTGCTCCTCTGTTCAATACAGCTCCTCTGTTCAATCCTGCCCCAATGCTGCTCCTCTGTTCAATACAGCTCCTCTGTTCAATCCTGCTCCAATGCTGCTCCTCTGTTCAATACTGAGAGCTAGTACAAGTCTGTTGTAGTCGCCAGCCTAGTTCAGTGTCGCGAAGGGGTGCTTCTTCCAAGTGTGGTTTAAGACTCATAGCAAAACAAACAAAAGCTATGTTTTGTTTGTTATGTGGTGAGTGTGTGTGAATAAGGAAATGCTTGTGTGGAAGTATATAGGGTATGTGTGTGTGTGGCTGTGTTCTATCTGTGAGATGTGTATCAGTATATGGTATGTGTAAGATTTGTACGCGAGCGTGTGTAGCGTTTGTGAATGTGTGAGAGGGAGAAAGTGTGTGTAGTTATCAGTAAGATGTGTCATTGTGAGAAAGTAAGATGTGTATCTGTAAATGTGTGGGATGTTAATGTGTGAGGTTAGTGTGTAAAAGAGATAACCGGAGGTGCATAATAAAGCCGCAGAGGTTTAGTACCATTTACTTTTGACTTAGGCTACGATCCTCCCGCACAGCTCGGCGCATTTGGCGGCAAGCTGTTTCCATAGAAAAAAAGGTCACTAGCTACGTTTGCAGCCTCTTTCCATCGGATGTCCCCTTCCCTGAGATCCTCCTATGAAGGTACGACTCCAAGTTATACAAGAACATCACTAGTTGCGCATGTCTCGTATCGGCCTCCATGGCATTGCTACCTTTTGGGATGGCCGGCCCGTTCTGTCGTAGAACATGTCCTCGTAATTCTCTCGAGTCTATTTTTCACATCCTCATGAAGTGGTCGAGTGGCCGTTCGGCTAAGGACTTCTTTGTGATCAGTTCTCTATAAGTGACTCCTAAAATCCGTCTTAGTCACTTCACTTTTGCTAAGCCACATTCAGCTTTCTCTCGATTTTTGGTTGCTGACGTCCATGTCTCACATGTCAAATGTCGACGTTGTGGTGGGCCATTGTTTTTTTAATATGGGAATTTTCGGGCCTTAATCTTTGAAAATGGCCTCTGCCATTCCTATTCGGCATGCTATGCCATGACACGCACCCCCATCTCTTGCTAGTATGCTGCCTAGCAATGTCAACTTATCCTGCTGTTCAAGCTCTGACTGACCAACTTTGACGGTGACCATCACAATGGACTAAACTGGACTAAACTAGTTTAGGCGGGACTATAGTATCGGCGGTGGTGCGCATGTCACAAGCCGAAAATAGAAATTAGGGCACCAGTGCATTGTGATATAAAGTTAGTAAAAGTAAAAATCCCCTTTCAGACCTTGTGATCTATAGGGCAGATGATGTAAATGTCAGCTATTTCTGTGGCTTACGATTAACGAGGGTGCCATATGGTCAGTACAACAACCAACCGCCGTTACTTTTCCCCGATTAATGTCAGGTAAACATTACAGTTGGGTGGACTCAGAAGCGCCCCAAACATCCCGAAGTTAAAAATCCGTATGTTCGTAAAAAATGTCCCGTGTTACAGTCCCATGTAAAGTGGTAATAAAAATTACGCGTGTTTATCTGTTTTTAAATAACTGCAAGTCATATTACATTCATTTAAAAAATATGGACCAAATGTTTGGAACGCGCTCCCCGTAGAGCTCAGGCAAGATGCATTACTACATTCAAGCAGAACATATGAAGACCTGCCCTTTGAAACCTTAAGGCAAGATACCTTGTTATATCGTTGTTTTATTTCTGTTACATTCTCGAGACGCCTTGATCTATACTGTAATATTCTCGAGACGCCTTGACCTAGGACTGTTACATTATCGAGACGCCTTGACCTAGTCTGTTACATTCTCGAGACGCCTTTGACCTAGTCTGTTACATTCTCGAGACGTCTTGGCCTAGACTGTTACATTCTCGAGACGCCTTGACCTAGACTGTTACATTCTCGAGACGCCTTGATCTATACTGTAATATTCTCGAGACGCCTTGACCTAGACTGTTACATTATCGAGACGCCTTGACCTAGTCTGTTACATTATCGAGACGCCTTGACCTAGACTGTTACATTCTCGAGACGCCTTGACCTAGACTGTTACATTCTCGAGACGCCTTGACCTAGACTGTTACATTCTCGAGACGCCTTGACCTAGACTGTTACATTCTCGAGAAGCTTCAAGCCTGCAACGCTTCATTCTCGAAATGCTTTGAACATACATTGTTACATTCTCGAGACGCCTTGACCTAGACTGTTACATTCTCGAGACGCCTTGACCTAGTCTGTTACATTCTCGAGACGCCTTGACCTAGACTGTTACATTCTCGAGACGCCTTGACCTAGACTGTTACATTCTCGAGACGCCTTGACCTAGACTGTTACATTCTCGAGACGCCTTGACCTAGACTGTTACATTCTCGAGACGCCTTGACCTAGTCTGTTACATTCTCGAGACGCCTTGACCTAGACTGTTACATTCTCGAGACGCCTTGACCTAGACTGTTACATTCTCGAGACGCCTTGACCTAGACTGTTACATTCTCGAGACGCCTTGACCTAGACTGTTACATTCTCGAGACGCCTTGACCTAGACTGTTACATTCTCGAGACGCCTTGACCTAGACTGTTACATTCTCGAGACGCCTTGACCTAGACTGTTACATTCTCGAGACGCCTTGACCTAGACTGTTACATTCTCGAGACGCCTTGACCTAGACTGTTACATTCTCGAGACGCCTTGACCTAGACTGTTACATTCTCGAGACGCCTTGACCTAGACTGTTACATTCTCGAGACGCCTTGACCTAGACTGTTACATTCTCGAGACGCCTTGACCTAGACTGTTACATTCTCGAGACGCCTTGACCTAGACTGTTACATTCTCGAGACGCCTTGACCTAGACTGTTACATTCTCGAGACGCCTTGACCTAGACTGTTACATTCTCGAGACGCCTTGACCTAGACTGTTACATTCTCGAGACGCCTTGACCTAGACTGTTACATTCTCGAGACGCCTTGACCTAGACTGTTACATTCTCGAGACGCCTTGACCTAGACTGTTACATTCTCGAGACGCCTTGACCTAGACTGTTACATTCTCGAGACGCCTTGACCTAGACTGTTACATTCTCGAGACGCCTTGACCTAGACTGTTACATTCTCGAGACGCCTTGACCTAGACTGTTACATTCTCGAGACGCCTTGACCTAGACTGTTACATTCTCGAGACGCCTTGACCTAGACTGTTACATTCTCGAGACGCCTTGACCTAGACTGTTACATTCTCGAGACGCCTTGACCTAGACTGTTACATTCTCGAGACGCCTTGACCTAGACTGTTACATTCTCGAGACGCCTTGACCTAGACTGTTACATTCTCGAGACGCCTTGACCTAGACTGTTACATTCTCGAGACGCCTTGACCTAGACTGTTACATTCTCGAGACGCCTTGACCTAGACTGTTACATTCTCGAGACGCCTTGACCTAGACTGTTACATTCTCGAGACGCCTTGACCTAGACTGTTACATTCTCGAGACGCCTTGACCTAGACTGTTACATTCTCGAGACGCCTTGACCTAGACTGTTACATTCTCGAGACGCCTTGACCTAGACTGTTACATTCTCGAGACGCCTTGACCTAGACTGTTACATTCTCGAGACGCCCTTGACCTAGACTGTTACATTCTCGAGACGCCTTGACCTAGACTGTTACATTCTCGAGACGCCTTGACCTAGACTGTTACATTCTCGAGACGCCTTGACCTAGACTGTTACATTCTCGAGACGCCTTGACCTAGACTGTTACATTCTCGAGACGCCTTGACCTAGACTGTTACATTCTCGAGACGCCTTGACCTAGACTGTTACATTCTCGAGACGCCTTGACCTAGACTGTTACATTCTCGAGACGCCTTGACCTAGACTGTTACATTCTCGAGACGCCTTGACCTAGACTGTTACATTCTCGAGACGCCTTGACCTAGACTGTTACATTCTCGAGACGCCTTGACCTAGACTGTTACATTCTCGAGACGCCTTGACCTAGACTGTTACATTCTCGAGACGCCTTGACCTAGACTGTTACATTCTCGAGACGCCTTGACCTAGACTGTTACATTCTCGAGACGCCTTGACCTAGACTGTTACATTCTCGAGACGCCTTGACCTAGACTGTTACATTCTCGAGACGCCTTGACCTAGACTGTTACATTCTCGAGACGCCTTGACCTAGACTGTTACATTCTCGAGACGCCTTGACCTAGACTGTTACATTCTCGAGACGCCTTGACCTAGACTGTTACATTCTCGAGACGCCTTGACCTAGACTGTTACATTCTCGAGACGCCTTGACCTAGACTGTTACATTCTCGAGACGCCTTGACCTAGACTGTTACATTCTCGAGACGCCTTGACCTAGACTGTTACATTCTCGAGACGCCTTGACCTAGACTGTTACATTCTCGAGACGCCTTGACCTAGACTGTTACATTCTCGAGACGCCTTGACCTAGACTGTTACATTCTCGAGACGCCTTGACCTAGACTGTTACATTCTCGAGACGCCTTGACCTAGACTGTTACATTCTCGAGACGCCTTGACCTAGACTGTTACATTCTCGAGACGCCTTGACCTAGACTGTTACATTCTCGAGACGCCTTGACCTAGACTGTTACATTCTCGAGACGCCCTTGACCTAGACTGTTACATTCTCGAGACGCCTTGACCTAGACTGTTACATTCTCGAGACGCCTTGACCTAGACTGTTACATTCTCGAGACGCCTTGACCTAGACTGTTACATTCTCGAGACGCCTTGACCTAGACTGTTACATTCTCGAGACGCCTTGACCTAGACTGTTACATTCTCGAGACGCCTTGACCTAGACTGTTACATTCTCGAGACGCCTTGACCTAGACTGTTACATTCTCGAGACGCCTTGACCTAGACTGTTACATTCTCGAGACGCCTTGACCTAGACTGTTACATTCTCGAGAAGCTTCAAGCCTGCAACGCTTCATTCTCGAAATGCTTTGAACATACATTGTTACATTCTCGAGACGCCTTGACCTAGACTGTTACATTCTCGAGACGCCTTGACCTAGTCTGTTACATTCTCGAGACGCCTTGACCTAGACTGTTACATTCTCGAGACGCCTTGACCTAGACTGTTACATTCTCGAGACGCCTTGACCTAGACTGTTACATTCTCGAGACGCCTTGACCTAGACTGTTACATTCTCGAGACGCCTTGACCTAGACTGTTACATTCTCGAGACGCCTTGACCTAGACTGTTACATTCTCGAGACGCCTTGACCTAGACTGTTACATTCTCGAGACGCCTTGACCTAGACTGTTACATTCTCGAGACGCCTTGACCTAGACTGTTACATTCTCGAGACGCCTTGACCTAGACTGTTACATTCTCGAGACGCCTTGACCTAGACTGTTACATTCTCGAGACGCCTTGACCTAGACTGTTACATTCTCGAGACGCCTTGACCTAGACTGTTACATTCTCGAGACGCCTTGACCTAGACTGTTACATTCTCGAGACGCCTTGACCTAGACTGTTACATTCTCGAGACGCCTTGACCTAGACTGTTACATTCTCGAGACGCCTTGACCTAGACTGTTACATTCTCGAGACGCCTTGACCTAGACTGTTACATTCTCGAGACGCCTTGACCTAGACTGTTACATTCTCGAGACGCCTTGACCTAGACTGTTACATTCTCGAGACGCCTTGACCTAGACTGTTACATTCTCGAGACGCCTTGACCTAGACTGTTACATTCTCGAGACGCCTTGACCTAGACTGTTACATTCTCGAGACGCCTTGACCTAGACTGTTACATTCTCGAGACGCCTTGACCTAGACTGTTACATTCTCGAGACGCCTTGACCTAGACTGTTACATTCTCGAGACGCCTTGACCTAGACTGTTACATTCTCGAGACGCCTTGACCTAGACTGTTACATTCTCGAGACGCCTTGACCTAGACTGTTACATTCTCGAGACGCCTTGACCTAGACTGTTACATTCTCGAGACGCCTTGACCTAGACTGTTACATTCTCGAGACGCCTTGACCTAGACTGTTACATTCTCGAGACGCCTTGACCTAGACTGTTACATTCTCGAGACGCCTTGACCTAGACTGTTACATTCTCGAGACGCCTTGACCTAGACTGTTACATTCTCGAGACGCCTTGACCTAGACTGTTACATTCTCGAGACGCCTTGACCTAGACTGTTACATTCTCGAGACGCCTTGACCTAGACTGTTACATTCTCGAGACGCCTTGACCTAGACTGTTACATTCTCGAGACGCCTTGACCTAGACTGTTACATTCTCGAGACGCCTTGACCTAGACTGTTACATTCTCGAGACGCCTTGACCTAGACTGTTACATTCTCGAGACGCCTTGACCTAGACTGTTACATTCTCGAGACGCCTTGACCTAGACTGTTACATTCTCGAGACGCCTTGACCTAGACTGTTACATTCTCGAGACGCCTTGACCTAGACTGTTACATTCTCGAGACGCCTTGACCTAGACTGTTACATTCTCGAGACGCCTTGACCTAGACTGTTACATTCTCGAGACGCCTTGACCTAGACTGTTACATTCTCGAGACGCCTTGACCTAGACTGTTACATTCTCGAGACGCCTTGACCTAGACTGTTACATTCTCGAGACGCCTTGACCTAGACTGTTACATTCTCGAGACGCCTTGACCTAGACTGTTACATTCTCGAGACGCCTTGACCTAGACTGTTACATTCTCGAGACGCCTTGACCTAGACTGTTACATTCTCGAGACGCCTTGACCTAGACTGTTACATTCTCGAGACGCCTTGACCTAGACTGTTACATTCTCGAGACGCCTTGACCTAGACTGTTACATTCTCGAGACGCCTTGACCTAGACTGTTACATTCTCGAGACGCCTTGACCTAGACTGTTACATTCTCGAGACGCCTTGACCTAGACTGTTACATTCTCGAGACGCCTTGACCTAGACTGTTACATTCTCGAGACGCCTTGACCTAGACTGTTACATTCTCGAGACGCCTTGACCTAGACTGTTACATTCTCGAGACGCCTTGACCTAGACTGTTACATTCTCGAGACGCCTTGACCTAGACTGTTACATTCTCGAGACGCCTTGACCTAGACTGTTACATTCTCGAGACGCCTTGACCTAGACTGTTACATTCTCGAGACGCCTTGACCTAGACTGTTACATTCTCGAGACGCCTTGACCTAGACTGTTACATTCTCGAGACGCCTTGACCTAGACTGTTACATTCTCGAGACGCCTTGACCTAGACTGTTACATTCTCGAGACGCCTTGACCTAGACTGTTACATTCTCGAGACGCCTTGACCTAGACTGTTACATTCTCGAGACGCCTTGACCTAGACTGTTACATTCTCGAGACGCCTTGACCTAGACTGTTACATTCTCGAGACGCCTTGACCTAGACTGTTACATTCTCGAGACGCCTTGACCTAGACTGTTACATTCTCGAGACGCCTTGACCTAGACTGTTACATTCTCGAGACGCCTTGACCTAGACTGTTACATTCTCGAGACGCCTTGACCTAGACTGTTACATTCTCGAGACGCCTTGACCTAGACTGTTACATTCTCGAGACGCCTTGACCTAGACTGTTACATTCTCGAGACGCCTTGACCTAGACTGTTACATTCTCGAGACGCCTTGACCTAGACTGTTACATTCTCGAGACGCCTTGACCTAGACTGTTACATTCTCGAGACGCCTTGACCTAGACTGTTACATTCTCGAGACGCCTTGACCTAGACTGTTACATTCTCGAGACGCCTTGACCTAGACTGTTACATTCTCGAGACGCCTTGACCTAGACTGTTACATTCTCGAGACGCCTTGACCTAGACTGTTACATTCTCGAGACGCCTTGACCTAGACTGTTACATTCTCGAGACGCCTTGACCTAGACTGTTACATTCTCGAGACGCCTTGACCTAGACTGTTACATTCTCGAGACGCCTTGACCTAGACTGTTACATTCTCGAGACGCCTTGACCTAGACTGTTACATTCTCGAGACGCCTTGACCTAGACTGTTACATTCTCGAGACGCCTTGACCTAGACTGTTACATTCTCGAGACGCCTTGACCTAGACTGTTACATTCTCGAGACGCCTTGACCTAGACTGTTACATTCTCGAGACGCCTTGACCTAGACTGTTACATTCTCGAGACGCCTTGACCTAGACTGTTACATTCTCGAGACGCCTTGACCTAGACTGTTACATTCTCGAGACGCCTTGACCTAGACTGTTACATTCTCGAGACGCCTTGACCTAGACTGTTACATTCTCGAGACGCCTTGACCTAGACTGTTACATTCTCGAGACGCCTTGACCTAGACTGTTACATTCTCGAGACGCCTTGACCTAGACTGTTACATTCTCGAGACGCCTTGACCTAGACTGTTACATTCTCGAGACGCCTTGACCTAGACTGTTACATTCTCGAGACGCCTTGACCTAGACTGTTACATTCTCGAGACGCCTTGACCTAGACTGTTACATTCTCGAGACGCCTTGACCTAGACTGTTACATTCTCGAGACGCCTTGACCTAGACTGTTACATTCTCGAGACGCCTTGACCTAGACTGTTACATTCTCGAGACGCCTTGACCTAGACTGTTACATTCTCGAGACGCCTTGACCTAGACTGTTACATTCTCGAGACGCCTTGACCTAGACTGTTACATTCTCGAGACGCCTTGACCTAGACTGTTACATTCTCGAGACGCCTTGACCTAGACTGTTACATTCTCGAGACGCCTTGACCTAGACTGTTACATTCTCGAGACGCCTTGACCTAGACTGTTACATTCTCGAGACGCCTTGACCTAGACTGTTACATTCTCGAGACGCCACTATGTTTGTTAACGGCGCTATAGAAATGAAACGATCATTATCACACAGTAGAAACATTGAAAATGAAATTAGAAATATATGCTTCTGTTTCTAAGATCTATGTTTTGATGTTGATGATTCTAGTTGTTTATTTTAAATCAAAACGGATTTCTTGCGACTATTCTCCTACCTAATTGTGTGTCAGCCTCAGCCACAGTACACACTAGGTGTGCACCGGATATTACTTTTTGATATTCGGCCGGAGCCGGATACTGCCGAATAGTAAAATAAGATATTTGGCCGAAGTCGGAACCGGATACTTACATGTCTTGAAAATAGCTTGTGTTGCTGAACATTTTGCAAAACTGCTAAATAACATACCTATATTCGTATTAATTCTTTTCCTTTTATATACCTTAATGTTTTAAACTCCGTTACTGATTGATGAATCAAAACTTAACAGTATTTATAAACACACACACACACACAAATGACCCCCAACTAAATGAGCACCCTGCACGCTAATGATCGATGCATCTAAAAGTGCAAACCTTAGATGTCTTTGTGTCTCCGTGATAATCATCCGCCCGAGAGTGTGTGGCTGGGGTGTTTGCCCACTTGGAGGGACTCCACTTGAAATAGAGAGGACAAAACGATACATTTGGTAGCGCCAACGTTAACACGTGCGCCATACCTTTTTATCTTTCTCACTAGTGAAATACATAAGAGGCTAACAGAGGATGTACTTTTGGTATCAAGATTGTAAACATCATCAATGGGAAAAAGAAACAACAACAGCAAAAATTAAATTCTGATGTAAATAAAAATAACAAAAGTGATTTTCGTATTACGCAATTTCGTAGGGTGCACCTGCGGGTGTCTGGTTTGTCATGTTTATAAACATGTGGTGGCCTGCTGGTCTTATGTTGCGTTTTTAAGTTTAACCACTCTACTGTTCATTAAAAAAGAGGTGTATATATTTTGGCATACAATATGTATTCATAATTTTAAAAAGCAAAGTGAACACTTAACTTTAGCTATATTATAAGAACGACCAATCCGATTGGGAAATTTAATTATCAATAGAGAATTTACTTTTTTTAGATTTAA